TTGAGCCCATCGGCCTCCCGCGCTTTAACTGAACCCGCGGTTCATTTGCTTTATTCCCATCAATAACTAGTTCCGGAACATTTATTTTTGATGGAGCATTAACAGCGGGGATATATGATTTTATCACTCTTCTCGTATCTGTGAACGCATCAAGTAACTGGTTTACCAACCTTTGCAAATGTATGATTTTATGAACTCTACCTCACATTTATTGGTAGGAGGATCGAGATAAGCCAAAGTTTATATACACTTTTGTGTTATCTTTTGGTGATTCTCAAGATCCTCCCCCTCAACGCAGGAAATTCATTTTCATCAAAGTGGCAATTGGCAAAACATGCCGTAAACATATCTCCAGTTACCGGTTCAAGATATCACCTCTGGAATAATCCCTTTATTTATACTACTCGAGAAAACTCTTCAGGAGTTTTGATGATCATCATTCTTTATTTCAATCGAGTAGTGTTCACGGGAACAGAATTCCAATATAATCTTTTAGGGATTAAATCCTCTAGAGGTTAATCTTTGGTTCCACTTTTTATAATGACATGGTGAATCGAGATATCTTATCATCGATTTCATTCAGGTACCTGATTATATCATTAACCATGTCAATAATCTCTTCAGGAGATTAATCCTCTTTTCCTCCTTTTCTTTTGAGGATTTGGAACCAAAGTAGTCTATCACATTTTTCTTACGTGTTATAGACGCAAATAGACCGTCCTTCATGGACATCTATTTTTAGTGGAGCTCAGCTAGGATATGAGATTTTGTTTTTTCACTCAATATGAACTTCAGGTTCATATGAGGATCCATCAGCTGTTTTCTATATGTCATACTGCATATTTTATGTCACCACATGGAGATCACCGTAATTGGTTTTGCAATCTCTTGGATTTGCTTTATTTTAAGCTCATTTCGAGTGTGAACATAATCTTCTGGATGTTCAGCTTACACTTGATGTGGGATTCTTTAATTCTCCCCCTCGAGATGACGACACTTTCAAGTTTTATCCATCTCGAATTGAATCCCACTCTATGACCAACTTTATATTCGATGAGCTTTAAACCAAAAGATATGGTGATCTATCCATGTATGCTTTTCATGATGGCTTCATTTTGTTTTTCTTTCTTTATGACATGCAATAGTTGAAAAAGTTTTTGGTTTTTCAACATGTATTATATATTATCAATGATCTTATATCATTGGAACTACCGGGATGGCTTAACCGGGTTTATTCAATTAGTAAACTTCAGGTTTACTATGGTATATACCATTGCCATCTTTTTTTTATTTATTATCACATATATGCATGTCACCATCGTGTGCTTTTGTAAAGCATTTTTCTCTTACAGAGCTTCTAGCTCTTCTGGAAGCTTTTAGCTCTTCTGGAGCTTTTAGCTCTTACGGGGCTTTTAACTATTCCAGAGCTTCTAGCTCTTACGGGGCTTTTAGCTCTTCCGGAGCTTTTAGCTCTTACGGGGCTTTTAGCTCTTCCGGAGCTTCTAGTTCTTACAGAGTTTTTTTTAGCTTTTCCGGAAATTTCAAAAAAAATTAGCTCTTCTAGAGCCTTTAGTTTTTAGAGCTTTTTAGCTCTTCCGAAAGTTTTTAATTTTAAAAACATATTTTGATGTCTTTAACCCATATTATAATCGATAAAATATATCAGATAGTTAAACATATTAATTCATAATAATAACATACCTGGTATAGCTTCTATAGATTTTGACGACGTCAAGCCTACTATAAAATAAGGAGGAGGCATAACCTTCCACTCCATCATTTTGTGTTCATGGAGAAGAGTTAACCTTCCACTCCATAAAATTTGATTAAGGAGGAGGATTAAACCATCAACTCCATAATTTTATGATCACAGAAGAAGTTTAACCATTATATTCTATAAATATATGATCAAGGAGGAGGCTTAGCCTTCTACTCCATAATATTAGTAGGGAGGAGATTTTATCTTCCACTCCACAAATATAAATACGGAGAAGGACTAACCTTCCACTCCATCATTTTCTGATCATGGAGGAGGTTTAAATCATCTCTGAAATTTTGTAATCATGGAGGAGGTTTAACCTTCCACTCCAATATTTTGTAGCCATGAAGGAGGTTTAATCTATCACTCCATAAATATAGATTAGGAGGAGGATTAACCTTCTACTCCATAAATAAATTTAAACATATAAACATAAATTAAATAAGGAGGAGGCATAACCTACTACTCCATAAATAAATTTACATAAATCAAATGAGGAGGAGGTATAACCTACCACTCCATAAATATAAACACGGAGGAGGTTTAACCTTCAACTCCATAATTATGATCTGAGGAGACATAGTCTACCATATGATCATATGATCGTGAAGGCATAGCCTACCATAACGATCGGTTCGGGAAAGGCATAGCCTATCATCCCGTAAACTTAAAAATAAATTAAACATAAATTTAAATCATTGATTCGGGGAAGGCAGAGCCTGTCATCCCGAAACAATACGTAAACGGAGAAGGCAAAGCCTATTTTTCCATAATATATAAACAAAGAAAGCATAGCATATATTTCTGTTTTCGTAAACAATATATAAAGTTTAGATCGACTAAACATAAATAAAATCTTACCTCCAAATATATGAATGAATTACGAGTCGATCACGCTGATAACGTGTTGAATATATTATATAATATGAGAGAGAGTTTAGTGGAATGAGAAGAAGAAGTTTTACTATCTGCGTTCACTTCATATTATAAAGGAAGTAACACTATTTATAGGGAGTAGCCAATGAAATTACTTCTCTTATAAGTAATATACTTCTCTTATAAATAATATACCTCTCTTATAAGTAACTAGATTTTGCACCCACGCTATGCGTGGGTATTTTGTTGATAAAAGATTATATTTATTATGATATAAATTTTATATATTAGTATTTTGATAATATATTAAAAATATTATGATGTTAATATAGTAATTTTAATGTAAACTGTGATATTTTAACGATTTTGTTTTGAATCTATATATGTCATATTTCAAAAATGTGTTATTTTATCAAACACTTATAAGTTAATATACTCAAACTAATTAAAATTTTTACAAATTAATCAAATGCTACTTTTTAAACATAGTATTGACATGATGATAAAATATTATACATTTACTTCTTTAAATTAAGAAGAAAAAATGGTTTTTTTATCATTTTTACTTTTATTTTAATTATATATGTGTTATTTAAAAAAAACTAATGTAAGAGCCCCTAAATATGTGTGCATACATCTAATTTCAATTCAAGATTTTCCTATTTTCCTACTTTAATATTGAAAATAATATACCTTTAAATGTTATTAAGAATTTTAGTAAACAATTTTTTCTTATATTGTTTTGTATTAACAATGGAATTTTATATTTTAATTTTTTTTTTTAATTTTAGTTATTGATGTAAACTAATAAAATTGACATTTTAAATTTTATGTGGATGTCATTAGATGCATATAGCTTCAACTTTTATTTTTTTATAAATATAATTTTTTGTTAACAATAGAATTTTAAAAAAAATTAATTTTAAATATTGATGTAGACCAATAGAATTGAACTTTAAATCTTATGTGGATATTCTTAGAGGCATATAGCTTTAACTTTTCTTATAATAGGATTTAGAAGCCTCCTTGTTTTGAGGCTTACCGAATGTATTCGGATGCTGTTTGGCCAGCTAATTGTTACCTTTGTGGTTTAAAATTATGTTGTTAAAACCCTATCAGATGTCATGTTATTTCAAAAATTGGATACATCAATCTCATTCGTCTTAATAATTGAACTTCTTTCTCTATTTTATGTGCTTCGTTTTTCAAAAATGTCGAGTATCAATCACTTGACATGTTTTTCGGATTGCTTAGAATTTATCATTCTTCTCAAATTTGGTGGCCAAGCTTTGGAGATTTTACGGTCTTTTTTTCAATATTAAAGCGTCTTGTAGTGGCTTTGTTTATATCTCTTTTCAATATATTTTTTGTAATCTAGCTAATAGTTAAACATATAGTAGTCAAGTTGGTTCTTTTATGTTGTAATGACTCATTTTTTAGTGAAACTTAACTCTATTTTTTTTTTTATACGGTTACACACACAGAATTATTTTTTTCAAAATTGTTATATGTGACAAAAAATTGGATGTTAATGCAAGAGTCTTTAAATATGTGTATACATCTAATTTAAATTTAAAATTTTCCTATTTTAATATTATTTATTTTAGTTTTTCATTATTAATATAAATTATATATAATTTATTTATCTTTAATAATTTTTTTAAAACAATAATAGAATTTGTAAACTTTTTAATTTTCAAAGTAGAAGTGGACCAATAAAAAATTATACAGAATTTCTTTATTTAGCAATAATATTACAATTTGTAAATTTTTTTAATTTCCTTATTCAACAATAATATTAAAAATTATAAATTTTCCTTATTTTTGAATGTTGATATGGACCAATAGAATTGAAAATTTAAATCATATGTGGACGGTATTAAAAATTGTAAATTTTCTTTATTTTTTAAATAACAATAATAGAATTTGTAAACTTTTTAATTTTCAATGTTGAAGTGGACCAATAAAAAATTATACAGAATTTTTTATTTATATTACAATTTGTAAACTTTCTTAATTTCCTTATTCAACAATAATATTAAAAATTGTAAATTTTCTTTATTTTTAAATGTTGATGTGGACCAATAGAATTAAAATTTTAAATCCTATATGGACGCTATTAAAAATTGTAAATTTTTCTTAACTTTAAATGCTGATGGACCAATAAAATTAAACTTTTAAATCTTAACATTTAGCTTCAACTTTTTATTAATATATATAAGATAAGATAAGACTAATAAAATATTCAAAAGCATAATTACTATCTAGCATATGCATTACTATCTAACAATAACATCTTCAAGCAATAAGTCCAATTTTACAGATTTATAAGCCCATTTACTTCTTCGAAAAGAAAATCATCCGTAGCTTGAACCAAACGAATTTTTTCTTAATTTTTTTTTTGTCTTTCTTCTTCTTCGTATAAAGTATTAACCCTTTGACGACGAAGACGAAGAAGAAGAAGCTAAGATGTTCAGGAACCAGTACGACACAGACGTGACTACATGGAGTCCCACGGGTCGTCTTTTCCAAGTTGAGTACGCCATGGAAGCCGTCAAGCAAGGCTCCGCCGCAATCGGACTCAGATCTCGCTCCCATGTCGTCCTTGCTTGCGTCAATAAAGCTCAATCGGAGCTCTCTTCTCATCAGAGGAAGATCTTCAAAGTCGATGACCATATCGGCGTCGCAATCGCTGGTCTCACCGCCGATGGTCGTGTTCTCTCTCGTTACATGAGATCTGAGTCCATTAATCACTCTTTCACCTACGAGTCTCCTCTTCCCGTTGGCCGTCTCGTCGTCCGTCTCGCCGATAAGGCCCAGGTTTACTCTCTCACTCTTCTCTTCACTTTCGATTTCGTAAAATTGAGATCATACCTTGATTATAATTAACCTAAAATTCGCACAATTTCGCTATATGGGTATAATTGAGACGACCTTTAGATTCATACAGGTTCGAAATTTGACAGTTTCGAAGCGTTTCTGAAATTGAAGTAAAATTTTATGTTTTGCTAACCAATGTGGTCAAAATTATCAGTGAGAAGTGTATGTGTTATTACAAGTAAGGATCTTGTTCTGCGATCAATTTAGTGATGATTAGGAATTAGAGCTTCTTGAGTTGTTAATCATCTCCAGTTCTGTTACCAGAAACTTTGTTTCAGCTGCTTAATCGGCATATAAAGTTTATGCTTTGCTAAGCAATGTGGTCAAAATTAGTGTATGTGTTTATTGGAAATAGTTATACGATTTTGCGACCAAGTTTGTGATGATTAGGAATTAGAGCTTCTAGAGTTGTTTAATTATTTCCAATTCTCTTGCTAGTTTTAGCCTCTGGGATTTTATCTTACAAGAAACTTTGTTCCAGCTGCTTAATCCGCATATAAAGATTCAACCTATAGCAAGAGAATGGCTTAAAACTGTATAAGAATGTGTTGTACTTGTTCTGTTTGCATCGTTTGTTCTCTGAGCTTGATAAAGTAAGTTGTTTTACTCTGCGCAGCCAAGAATGCATGTACGTCTTTGTTTTTCTCTTCTTGATTTGTATAAATTTGCATTAGCTCACACACTCTCTTAACTTGCCTGATGAACCATTTATCAAGTAAGATGTTGTTTTACAATTGCCATGGAACCTTTGTGTTACATGTGCACTAATTTTGCCGTCTAACGATGTGTGTTCTGAAATTAGATGACTTATTCACATCTTCAGGATGCTTTGCTTGCTACACATCTCACTTATTTCAATGTCTGTCAAACATTTAGTTAGCTGCTATATTGACATTTTCAATTGATTTTTGCATATATCAATCATGTACTTTGGAAAAAGCTCTGTTATCGTGAACCCATTTGTTCGTCTTGTATTTACCCTCTTCATACTTGTCCTTGAGCAGGTATGTACCCAATGGTCATGGAAACGGCCTTATGGTGTGGGATTGCTGGTAGGTGGATTGGACGAGTCAGGAGCCCACCTCTACTACAACTGCCCTAGCGGAAACTACTTTGAATATCAAGCGTTTGCTATCGGGTCTCGTTCACAAGCTGCAAAAACTTATCTGGAAAGAAGATTCGAAAATTTCAAAGAATCATCAAGAGAAGAGCTGATAAAAGATGCGATTTTGGCCATAAGAGAGACTCTGCAAGGGGAAACACTGAAGAGCTCGCTTTGCACGGTTTCTGTTCTAGGAGTCGATGAACCGTTCCATTTCTTGGACCAGGAAAGCATACAAAAGGTGATTGATACATTTGAGAAGGTTCCCGAGGATGAGGAGGATAATGCTGGAGAGGCCGAGATCGGTGCTGTTGCACCTGCCGAACAAGGTGGTTCAGGTGATCAAGATCTTGCACCAATGGAAATGTGAGCAAGTGAGAGTTTTTAAAGTTGGCTTTACGAATGACTTTGGCATATAAACACAACATGTTGGGTTACAACATTCAAAGTTCCAAAGTATGCATCTTTGAGTTAAAAAAGTCAGTCGATGTCCTAAGTATTTGGTCTTTTACCCTCGCGTAAAATCTTATTTTATGTTTAACATTTTCCTTTTGAGATTACAATTTTGTAGGTAGCTAATTCCTATCAATACCATCTTATTAGATTTTACAAACCACTCCCAAAAATAAGGCCACGAACTTCAACGTGAAACAAAAACTAAGGTTGTCCAAGTCTTTATTAGGGTCACTGGTCATGGTGTTCACATAAGAGAAACCAGAAATATTTTGATGATAATGCTACTATGGAAACCAACATTAACACTACACCCAAAGACAATAAAAAACTTGAAATCGTTTGGAAGACACAAAGTTATGTAAATTAGCAAGACCTACATCTTATAAAATGTCATGGCATAAAATTTAGTTTGACAATTATAAATCCCTAGGTCTCTGCCGCTCTGGACCTCTGGTACTCCAAGAACTAATTAAATACATACTTGGATTTGAACCAAAGTCGGAACATAACTGAGAAGAAATGAAAAAAAAAAAAAAGATCTTATTGAACCATGAATATCCACTTGAATGTGTCTATCCTCTCCCACAATGTGCAAGATGTTGTTAGGGACCATGTTGACCATGTTATCGTAATACACTAAAACTTTGTTCGGCTTGTCGACCAAGAAACTTATCCAGTGAGATAACCCAAAATTGGATTTGGGGGTTAGGAACTTGCTCCATGCAATGATCCGGTACTCTCAATCAAAGTTTAACGGATTGACGCTTGGTAGACAAAGTTTATCCTCTCGAATCACTGATAAAGCTGCATCAGAGTAAAGAAGAGAATGAGGAAGAAGAGAGTGAGTTTGAAATCTGCCTGTTGAAAAATCAAAACTTAATAGAGGATAAGATAGCCTGTGTCGACTACAGCAAGCCAACTAGCAAGCCAGTAAGTATTCCCTTTCACAGACACGCCACACCTCCGACTCTATGGTACGTACCACTTGGTAGTCACAGCAACAACACTCCAGGAGTTAGAGGTAAAGTCATAGATTGAATTAGAGGTAAAGTCATAGATTGAGTTAGAGGTAAAGTCATAGATTTCATAATCAGTAAGAAATACACCAGCATCACTACCACCGACAAATCGATCCATCTTTATGATTTTGTAACAAGACGATTTGCTATCTTAACTAAGAGAAAAGATATCATATTTTTTTTTAGGGTTTTCTAGGTTGGATCCACTTGGTTTCCCCTGAAACCGGATTACAAACCAGAAATTGACCGCCCTTAGTGATTAATAACAATAAGCCGTCACAGTGAAAGACGTTGCATATATCAACTTCTTCTGAAGAATCAGAAAGTGGATCTTTTAGGCTAAATTGTCTTGTAAGCTTTCTAGATGGAGCAACATTGTTTTCTTGAGTCCCACGGAAATCAACACTCACTAAATAAACCCTAAAATTAATCAACATGATAGCCAGAGATTGCCTTAGAGCAGAGTGCTTCTTCGAAAGTATTTCATCTTTGACCAGAGCGTTCCATCCTTTGGATATAGATCGGAATTGTGCCAGAGATATCGCCGGAACCCTAGAGAGTATTTCCACTAACAAATTCTTCGACAGATCTACCGTATTTCTCTTATTCATCATGGTGGACTCGGAAGCCAACTGTATCTATAATTTAGGGTTGTGTAACAAAATGAGCGAGCGAGAGATAGGGAGAAACCAGAGCAAGAAAGCGACAGAGTTTTTTCTTTTTTCAAGGCTTTGAAGTTTGCAGCTAGATATATTAAGTCTCTCAAAGTCTCTCAAATGAGAGAATCATCTCACTCTTTCTCCTCTTTTTTTTTTCTTTTTTTTTTTTAATGGTGAGAGACTCTCTTAGACTCCCACTGCTGCAAATGCTCTTAGAATAGGTAAACGTAAAAAGAAAGACAAAGAAGAAGGGACTCCAGGAGTCGAATCCATAGCTCCCTTAGACCCTTGAATCCGGACTTATCAAATCAATCTCTTGGATCGACAATGAAATATAAATTATTTTGATTCCCTATAGGCATCCACCCATTTTGGTAATCAGTAGATACTACTTCAGCTAGCTCAAAACTGGAATATTGTTGAAGGATAGTAAACCAAAAAAATCAATTAAATCAACTTTGTTACCTTGAAGTTATTCTAAGGAACCACTCAGCGCATGAACCGCCACATCAAGTGCTGACCTCATACGAGAGTAACATCACTCTGAAATTTGGATCACTTTGCCTATGGTCTGGCAGATACAGTTGAAGATAGCAGGTTCAGGGTAGGACACTGGTGGACCCTACGATCGGCCTGTCCCATCATGACCTGACCCGATTAAGGATACTTATCCGGTACCCTAGTCTGAGCTGGTAAATTCTAATAAAAGTTGAAGCTAAATGTTCTTAAGGGTGTCCACGTAAGATTAAAAAGATTAATTTTATTGGTCCACATCAGCATTCAAAATTAAGAAAAATTTACAAATTCTAATATTATATTATTGTTGAATAAATAAATTAAAAAAGTTTACAAATTCGAATATTATTGCTGGATAAAGAAATTCTGTATAATTTTTTATTGGTCCACCTCAACATTGAAAATTAAAAAGTTTCCTAATTCGATTATTATTTTTAAAAATTATTAAAGATAAAGAAATTATATAAAAACTTTATATTAAGAATAAAAAACTAAAATAAATCATATTTAAAAGGAAATTTTAAATTTAAATCATATGTATACACACATATTTAAAAACTTTTACATTAGCATCCAAATTTTTATCACATAATTATAATAAATTTAAGTTTTTTTTTCTGTGTGTGCAACCATTTCAAATTAAAAAAAACAAAAAATAGAGTTAGATTTCACTAAAAATTGAGTCATTACAATGTAAAAGAACCAACTTGATTAAACTATATGTTTAATTAGAATGAAAGAAGATATATTACAAGCTCCTTTAATATTGAAAAAGAGACCATAAAATCTTCAAAGCTTGGCCACCGAATTTGAGAAAAAATGATAAATTTCAAGCAATCTGAGAAACATGTCAAGTGATTGATATTTGACACTTTTGAAAAACGAAGCACTTAAAATAGAGAAAGAGGTTTCATCATTAAGACGAAGGAGACTGAGGTATCCGAGAAATTTTTTTTTGAAATAACGTGGCATCAGATGGAGTTTTAACAACATAACCTTAACCGAAAAGGTAACAGTTAGCTGACCAAGCAACATCCGAACGGTAAACCTCAAAACAAGGAGGAGAGACCAAAATTATGACACTTTTAAAAAACAAAGCACTAAAAATAAAGAAAGAGGTTCCGTCATTAAGACAAAGATTGAGGTATCCGAGGAAGATTTATGAAATAAAATGGAATCTGATGGGGTTTTAACAACCTAACGTTAACCACAAAGGTAACAATTAGTCTGACCAAATAGCATCCGAATACATTCGGTAAGCCTCAAAACAAGGAGCAGTGACCAAAATCATTTGTCTCGTGTGGGATATTCCAGCTTTGATTTCTAAATCTATTATTAAAAAAGTTAAAGCTATATGCCTCTAAGAATGTCCACATACGATTTAAAATTTCAATTTTATTGGTCTACATCAATATTTAAAATTATAAAAATTTCCAAATTTTAAAATTATATTATAAACAAAAACATATATTTATAGAAAAATAAAAATTAAAGCTATATGCTTTTAAAGGCATCCACATAAGATTTCAAAAGTCAAATTTATTAGTGTACATCCATAACTAAAATTAAAAAGTTTATAAATTATAAAATTACATTACTAATACAAAACAATATAAGAAAAATTGTTAATTAAAATTATTTTATTGTTAATAACAGTTAAAGCTATATTATTTTCAAGGCATCCACATCAGAATTTAAAAATTAAATTTTATTTGTGTATATCAAAATTGTAAATTTAACAAAGTTTCATAATTCTATTATTATGGTTAAGAAAATAAATTAAAGAATAACGAAATCTCTATAAACAAAAAAAAACAACATGATATTAAAATTTTCAGTATCACTGCTTAAATAAAAATTTAATTTATTATCTATAAAAATATATGCTACTTATACAAGTTTAGGTTACTTCATTTTAAGGTTTTTCACGTAGAATTTTAACTAATAACTATGATTTGTATTAATTTAAATTTTTTTTCACATATGCAAAATATATTTCCACATAATCTCATGTAATATATTACGCAAAAATGATAGAAAAATTGCATTGTGTATATTCAACTTGGAATTGCAATAGATTAATGTAAAAGTTTTTAGTTTTGAGTTGTTTAATTTGTTATTTATATTCCTAATCAAATTGTATCAGCTTTGCCTACTTAATTATAATTAGAAGAAATAAGAATGAATGTGATGAAATTAAATATAATCATACAAAAATTATTAAAATAAATAAATATGATCTATTCAATGAAAAAAAGATATTACAAGAATAAAAATGAATATGATAAATAAAAAATGCATTCTTATTGGAAGAGATGACGTATAATTATTGAAAAATTATTCAAACGTTTACAACTAGTTGACAAAGATATATTTAACTATTATTTTGGTTTCAAATTTAAAGTTGTTATTAATCTCAAAGAAAATATTTATTTATTAGTTTGTTTTTAAAATTAATATAACAAAATAAAAATTGTATCAATTAAACAAGAGAAGAAAAATATTAAATATTAAATTTTATTATTTTTTATTGTTTTTAAAGAACACATATATAATTGGAATAAAACTGAAAATGATGAAAAACAATTATCTTCATGATTTTAAAAAATGAATGTATAAAATTTTATCTTCATGTTAATTTTATGTTTAGAAAGTACTTTTTGATTAATTTGTAAAAAATTTAGTTGATTTGGATATATTAAAATTATAAGTGTTGGCCAAATAATATTTTTTTGAAATATGACATATTGTATATATATTTAAAACACAAACGTCAAATTCTCAAAATTTACATAAAAATTATTCGATTAACACCATAATATTTGTAATATATTATTAAAATATTAATATAGAAAATTTATATCTTAATAAATATAATTAATTACATATAATTTTTATTAACAAAAATACTCATGTGTGAGCGCAAAATCTAGTCATTCACAAGAGTATAGGATGGTTCTTTTGAAACTAAAAAAAGTACAATCTTAATTGTTTTGAATACGATTATTATGTCTAGCGGTGAAATACGCGTTAACAATGCCATGCAACTAACATAATAACGAAACATCATATCTACTTGTAGTTGTTGTACTTCGTGTTTTATGAATAATAGAAAAATCTATCTTCAGGATAAAAAAAGCAGGTTTAGGGCATTTTGGGTTTAAGATAATTATCCAAAAAATATATTTAAAGATGATTGTCTAATTTCCGGATGTAGGGCTTTTCTGCATCCTCTAAGGCAAGTCACCTACTCACCTTTCCATTTAGAGGCTTTGCTTTCCAAAATTTTTAGAGCAAGCCACAAAATTCATGTTTTCTTCTGGATAGTTAGAAATAATTCCCATATCCTCAGCATACATTTAGCTAAATACATATTCTGTTATTTACCCTCTTTTCATCCTACCTTTTTTTTTTGAAGAATATAATGAAATTTATATATCAAAAAAAACCTTTTTACAATGAATGCCTCTGTGTTTTGAAAGAAAATACAGCTAAATCTAGGTTACATAATTAAAAGAATTTTCAGCTGGTGGCGAACCACCATTGGAGCCCGTCTTCAAACTTAGTTGAGCCCAGATGCCTGAGAGAAGAAATTCGATTTCTGACATTCTTGTCTATAAGCCGAGTTAGGTGGTGTGAGGTGGAAGGGTGCTCTCCATGACATCTCCTATTCTTCTCCCTTCAAAGATTATGCACCACTGCCTGAAATGCATATCACAGCAAAAACAGAGGAGTAGATTGCAGAGATGAGTCCGAGAGGAGATGAACAATGGCGTTCCAATCCGCCGTGAATCGACTCCCAAGTAGCTTACTCACCAACTTTGACCAGATCTCTTTGGAAAACGACATGAAAAGAATAGGTGGTTACAGGTTTCCAATGGATCTCTGCAGAGTACACACTCCATGTTGATCGCATTGTTCCATCCCACCATTCTATATTTTGTTGATAACCGGTTTTGAATTGCAAGCCACACTAGGAATGAGTATTTAGGAGTTGCAGCAGAGAACCAAACTCCTTTATACCTTTCCAGTCTTGGATGCACATTTCTGACATTATACCATGTATATTGCGAAGAGAAAGAGTGTTTGAATTTATCATTCTTACTCTTCCACAGCCACTTATCATCCTCTGTTCCCTGCGTTCAACGCAAGTTCTAGTTGGCCAATTCAATCTCATTATACAACCCAACTATGTGATTTTTCCGACGGTGTGAGTTCAGAACAGCACCCACTGTCTCATGAAAGCTGTGTTCCCAAGCCAATAATGCCATTTTTGCCAGTGATGTCAATCAAGCGACCCACTACAAGAAAGATCGGGTTTTACGTCGGCAGATATCGACGTAAAATCGACGTAAAAAGGCATTTACGTCGAATTAGCGACGAATGGAAAATCGTCGTAAAACAATCGTCGTAAAATAGGATTCGTCGTAAAATCGTAA